AGGAAACTAACCTGGAAAAGCTTCTCGAAAAAGTGGTGCTAGCAAGTAAAATTTACAAGCAAATTTTGAATCCCGAACTAAATTATTGAGGAAAAGACCTCTACCTTCCGGTTTTGGAAATTAAAAATCTAGGTCTTAAACAAATTTTCCCCCTTCTTATCGTAATAAAATTATCTCCAAATTATAACGAAAAGGAATCGGGAGAAATTTTGCAAAAGCTCGTTGCTTACTTGTTTAGGAGAAAAATTAGAGGAATAAGGGTCAATCCTAACGAAGCAGAACATTGAGTAGAGTTAGTTCGTAATAAGCAAATATCTTATATTTTAAACAGCAAAGAAATAGTTGAAGAGGGAGAAGAAGAGGAATATTTTTATGAAAAGTTAGCAAAATATAATTTGTCAGACAGCATCGCTAAATACATCTTTCGAAGATTTTATTTAACTTATACTCCTAACATTTATGCTATAACTGATAAAGAGCAGGTAGAACATATATTTCCTAAAAATCCTGACAAATCTTGATATGAAACACTTGATTATAGATCATTACAGAAAGACAACGAAGCAAAAAAGAAATTAACTTATTCCTTGGGAAATATCACTCTTTTAGACCAAGAAAAAAACATTCAAGGCTCAAATAAATTGTGGAAGTTCAAAAGAAAAGAGCATGAAGAAAAAACTTGCTTAGACTATGAAAAAAAATTGGAGGGTAGTAAAGAAAATCCTAATCCAAATTTTTTTTCAAGAGATAATTTGCTTCCAGAGCACATTCAATCCAGAACAAAATTCTTGTTAGAAAAATTCAAGGAAAGAAAAATTTTTTCTGTCAAATAAATTAAACCAATTTAGAAACCATTATCCTTACAAACAGTATTTCTTCTTTAAAGCACAACCAATCTTTAATTATGCGTATCATCAACCCCAACTTCTTCACCATCAGTGCGGTCGAATTAGCTCAAAAATTACTTGGTAAGATTCTAGTGCGGAAAATTGGCAACCAAATTATCAAAGTCAAAATCGTTGAAACTGAGTCCTTGAATGTTTTTTTCTTGGTCTAAAAGAGTGATATTTCCCAAGGAATAAGTTAATTTCTTTTT